CATTAGTACCACATGGTGACTTCACTACTCAATGGATACTGAAAATGAACTGCATCCAACTGCACACAGCAATATGTAGGAATCTCACAAACGAAAGAGGCCAGGCATGTAAGTATACATGCAATATGATTCCATTTATAGAATGTTCCTCAAACGCGTAAAACTAATCCATGGTTTTAGAAGCTGGGACAGTGATTACCCTGGGGGTGGGGGCTGTAGCAGTGACAATCAAGAAACGTGGACTGGGGTTGATAACGCTTTCTCCACCAGGCTGTCGGTTGCACGGGAATGTTCCGTTAGTGAAGACTGAGCGACCCGTACTGTTAGGCTTTTCTAGGTGTACTGCATACTTCAGAAAAATTATTTAGGCGCCCCTTAAGAAAACATTGCTATTATTAACCTCTTGCAACCTACAGTCCAGTTTGGGGGGACGGAGAGAAGGAGTTGAAATTTGCTATTTCAACATACCAAATGTGCTTTTGAGATCAGTGGGCTCCCCCAAACTTCCTACAGAGACCCGGTGGAGGCACCAAACCGCATCCCGGATGTCCTACCTCCGCGCAGTGCTGGGTCTGGCTCAGCGCCCAGGTTGGGATGGCCAGGACGGCTGGCTCTTCCAGTTCGGGCGCTCACGCCAGCAAAGGGTCAGGCTCTCCCGGAGCTAGCTGGTGCGCTCCTTGCCCAGCCGGCTTTGGCCGCCTGGGGCCTGCCTGGGAGGCGTTGCCTGGCGCCTGAGCCGCGCGTCCGGCGGCACCTGCGCAGCCCCTGGAGGTCGCGAGGGTCTTTCGACTGCTCTCGGAGCCAGGCTGTGGCTGGTCACTGAACTTTGTCGACTCACTGACAGCTCGGGCCCCAGGAGTTGGGAGAAGGCGCCCGGAAAATCCCCTCTGGGCCCCTGACCCTTTAGAGCGGCGGAGGAGGAGGAGGAATGAAACCTTGAACCACCCCGCCTCCCGCACGCGCATTTCTCCAGGGAAGCCCCCGCCCACCCGACCCCACCCTGGAGGTGATGCGCGGCCCCAGATCAACCCGCCGTGCAGGTCCTGGAGAAATCCTTTCTGGGTCTGGTTTCCCTCCTGATCCTATGCTCGCTGCAGTTATGGGCTAGCGGGGATTCATGGCCCCGCCAGCAAATCCTTTCACCTTTCCCTTCAGTCGAATTCCTGAAGAATAGTCAAGGTCCAAGCCTCTGCTAAGTGTTCCTGGACCTGCAGGCAATCACGCTGGATGCCGCTAGCCCAGTTCTGCCAGTGTGACACTGTTGGGTCTCTGTCATGAGCATCTCTGCAGTGTTGGGGTTCTGAATCCTTAGGATTGGCCCACTGCTCCACGGCATCACGCGGACTTGGTTCTCAACATACACACAGCGCCAGCCCGCCTGCCTGATGAGTACTAGACTGCCTAAGCTTGTATATGGATCATCTCATTAATTTTTTCAAAGCCAAAGTAATTGGCACATGAGTATTTATATACCTAAACATTTGATAAATTGTACATTTAATATCTGTGCGTTTTATTGTAGGTTTTAAAAAATCCTGAGATGCACTTAGAAGGACACCCATTTTATAGAGGAGAAAACTAATATTCAGAATGCTCCTAAATTACTCCAGGCACATACTGCTGCAGCCGGTGGTGGTGTTGAGATTAGAATTGAGGCAGTTCCTAACCTCTCAAAATCAGTCTCTTCAGGAAAAAAACAAACAAACAACAACAACAAAAAAAAAAACTCTTGCGATCTGGAACCTATTCCATCTTTCCCACCAGTCCAGCCTGCCCACCTCCTGAGCTGGTATGACACAAGTCAGCTTAATCTGAGAAGGAAGGAGGGCTTGAGCCAGAAGTGACCTCTGAAATCATAGACTTCACCCTTCCCCTCTGCCTTAAAGCTCAGAAAGCAGAGCCCAGAAAAGTGACTTACTTTACTTGCTCTAAATCTCATGGAATTTTAGAAGGACTGCTTGATTCTTGCTGGCTCAAAGGACAGTCCCATGAAAAAGCAGTTTGGACTTGGGAGGGGGTGCCTAGGGAGGGAGCTCAGGGAAGATAGAGCTGTGCTGGTTAAAGGTTTCCACTCTATAATGTTCCTGGCCCTGGAACCCCAGCATTGACCAGTGCGGAAATCCTTGGACAAAGTGATGGGAGCTATTTATACCCAGAAACTGCAGGCTCCAGAGCAGGGTAGAGAACAGGGAGCGGGCTGGTCCAGGCTAGCTTTAAGTATCTTAAGACACGCAAACCACAAGGAAGCCAGTCCACAGAACCAGCTGTGTTTCCTCTATGAGGGTCACACGCTTCTTCCAGAACAGGAGAGGATGCAGAATGAAGGAAGAACTAATGTGGGCCAGAAGGAAACCGGGCAGGGAAGGTGAGGGTCCCATGCTGGGAGCACTGAGAGGCCAAGGCCCCGCAGGATACAGGACTGGGTTGGAGGAAAAAGTAGTTGCTTATTTACAAAAACCTAGGGTTGTCAGAGACTTCTGCTCCTATAGTTAAGGCACTGAAATTTGGCCTTGGGAATCATATGGCTGGGTGTTGCTGACTTCCTATTCTCAGCACCTAGTGAATGTAGAAGAAGCCCAGTTGGGTCCCAGACCCTATCTCCAAGTTCTTCCCAAACTCCAAACTGTGTGTCCTGGTATCAAGGTCTTAACCAAGGTCTTATTCAGCTTCTTTTCCTAGATTTTGAGCTGTAGGGTGAAGTGTAACATCTATGGGAAGGGAGGAGAAGCTATTTCATCTTGTGGATACAGAAGGTGGGACCTGGTTCTAAGATTAGGATGGTTGCCAAGAGTCCTGTTCAGCATCTCCCTCATAGCTGGTGCCCAGTTCCACACCACTGGGGCCACCTAAAAGGCTCTGGAAAACCACTGAAGGGAACAATTGAAGGAGCCTGGAAGGAATCCCCCAATCCGCTTAGCTCCATGAGCTCCTACTGTGATATCTGTCCCAGAGGGAACAGATGCCAGCCAGGTCCTCCATGACTTTACATGGAGGGAAAGAGACAAATAAATCTTTGTACTACATTATGTCATGATATTGGAAAATACCTAAGGCTCCAGTGGTCCAAATGAAGGAGCGATTTCCTCTACTTGGGTGGTTCAGGAAAAAAGCTGGGCTTTGAAGCAGGAGCAGGAGTTCATCAGAAAGATGAAGGTAGAGGACATTCCAGACCAGGGAAAGTTGTGCACAGACATGGGTACAGAAAGAAAGCTGTTTTAGATTGGCTTCCTTTTTGTCATTCAGGTAGAACTTAAATGTCATCTTTTCAACAGGCTTTCCCTGACCACCTACCTACTCTCAAGGGTCCTCAGCTCTCAGCCTTTGGTTCAATTTCCTTTTTAAAGTGTATCTAGATTTTTACACTTATTTAGTTGTCACACCCCACCCCACACACCTGAAAACAAGCTCCATGAATCTAGAAACACTATTTTCCCCCACTCTCCACCATTCCCAGCATCCAGAACAGTACAAAGAAATATGTGCCCAGTATATATCATTCGGTGAATTGATGGATGAATGACTTTCGCAGCCAGAGGCAATGAAGAGCTTCCTAACGCTTAGACTAAGCAACCCTTGGGAAGATGACTCCAGGAGAGGGAGCTTTGGACGAGGGGGGTTTGGGATATCTTGGGGTAGGAGAGTGGGAGGCTCTGTCCCAGCTCCAGCGCGGAGTGAGGGAGGAGGAAAACTGGCCTCCAGGAGCTGTGGGACAGGCAGTCTGGTGCCCTAACTCACGCCCAGCTCTGAGGTCTTTCTGCCGCTGGAGAGAAGAGGGAAGGGAGGGTCTTCGCCCCCCAAACACCGCTTCTGCAGTCTCCCGCTAGGCTCTTTTGGACTTGTCCAAGTCGCATCCTGGGCGGTCAGAGGGTTTCGCAGGGCTTCCTAGCCTGCCTCCCGGCCTCCCTCCCTCCCCTCCTCCTTTTTCTTCCAGCTCCTCGCGTCTCTCCAGCTCCCCAGCCGGGCGGCCCCGCAGCAGCTAGCAGCCCCCACCCCCTCCAGTAAGGGCGAAATTGCTAAACTTGTAGCAATAATGACCCTGCATTCAAGCCGCCGACTCCCGCTGAAAGTCTCCGCGCCCTGGCCGGCGCGGCCTAATCAGCGCGCCCCTCCCTGCTGCCCGCCCAGCCCCCGTCCCCTTGCCGCCCCTTCCCCCAGCGCACAAAAAATGGGGAACAAAACCCCCACGCATTTCTCTGTCCCTCTGTTGAGCAGACTGCTGCACAAAGCCCCCGCTCTGAGAAGCAATGGGGAGCTCGGGGGGGACGTCAATCCGACGCGCTGGGGTTTTTGTTCGCGCAGGGGACCTCGCCTTCCTACCACACCTTTTGTTCGGGACTCCAATAAAAAGCCATTCTTTCCGCACCTTCCCGGCCCGGAGCCGCCTTTCAGCGAGGCCCGGCCCCACAATGGCGCGGCGCTCTGAGGCCTCCCCATTCACCCGCCTTGGCACGCTCACAATCGGCCGTGTGGCAGCACAGGCCTCGCACAGGCATTCTCCGCAAGTGACAAGGAGCCGCATAAAGCCGCGGCCGCCGGGGGAGAAGGGAGGGCGGCCGAGGGGGAGAGATCGGCCTCGGCGGGGCGCAGTGCAGCGCCCCCGGGCGCGCTGGAAGCCCTGGCGGCGGCCAAGGAAGGAGCCGCCTTCGCGCCGCCTGCGGCTGGGCCTGGAGTCGAGGTTTCCTCGTTCCTGGCGACCCTCGAGGTGGGGCAGTCTAAACCTTGACCGAGGAGAGGAAGGTCCAGACAGTTATTTCAAGCATGTGGGTAAAACTGGGGACAATACAAAGCAGGGACCTCAAAAGGCTCTGAGTCTGTGGCGGGTCCTAGCCACAACAGTAAAGATAAATTAATGAACAAAGCCGTGAAGAGAAACTTGCAGCCTGGGGCCTGGCTCGGGAGAGATCAGGCCTCCCATTGCCCAGGGTACTGCTTTTCTTTACCACCTTTTCCTTCCCTTCCCTCCCCACATTTTTTTGGCTAAAGAGTCTGTAGCCGGCCAATAGTTTGTAAGTATTGCACCTTGTTTATTGACTCCTGTAGTGTATGGCAGCGGGTGTGTACACGGCGTGTGGATATAGTTATATATAAAAATAATATGTGCTGAATACAGAATACGAAACAGAAAGGAAACCTGGTAACATCTCCAATGGGTCACCAGGTCTTGGATTAGCTCAGCGCCCCCTCCCCCAACTTTTGATCTCACTTGGCTGGTTTTCTTCGCGGAGTCCTGAGTCCCCTGACAATCTCTGGAGATCTGGGCCAAAGTCTCCGCTATGGAGGGGAGGCAGTTGGAAAACGAAAATTCACTGTAGTGTGGAGCTCTGAGCCCCGCAAAGGGGACAGAGGGTCGGTAAAGCCTGATATTTCTCAAGCCACGATCCCCATTTTTCTCTTTCATGCCTTTCTGTTTTCTTTTTCTTTTAGGTCCGGGTTCCCCGCCAACGCTTTGCGGAGGCCACAGGAAGATGGAGGGAGAGAAACCCTTCTTGTTTTGGGGAGAACAAACGGCAGCCAGAGTCCCAGCCTCCTGCATTCCCCTCGGGGCCAGGGTAGGGGTTAGAGTCCTCCCTGGCGCCCAGGCAGGGAGTTTCTGACTCGAAAAACGGTTTTGGCAACCGGACTCGGGCATCCTCCTTGCCCCTGAGTCGCCATCCCCAGGCCTCGAGTGGGCTGCGATTCTGAGCCCTGGGGAGCGAGACATATGTATACATAATATATTTTAACGAGGGGACCTGGCCCTTGGGTCCGGCCTTTCTCGCGCTGCGTTCCCGCGGCTCCAGGCTGCGGTAGGCGCCCGCCGCGTGATCCGACTGGTCCTTACCAGGCCCGTATGCCCTGTAAGGTACCCTGTGCACACGCGGTCCCGGCTGTAGCACCCTGGTGCAATGGCTGTGAGCCGCCACCGCCGCCGAAGCCTCCCAGGTTGCTCACGTTCATGAAGGGGCCGCCTCCGGTCGCGCTACAGGCGGGTTGCATGGTGGTGGCCGCAGCAGAAGCCCCCCCACCGCCACTGCCGCCTGTGGGATAGGCACAGCCATAGCTGCCGCTGTAGGCCGCGGCAGCGGCGGCGGCTGCTGCTGCGGCGGCGGCCGCCGCGGCGGCGGAGTTCCCATAGCCGTACGCAGGGAAGCTGTTGTACGAGTAAGCGCCAGCGCCCACACTGTACGGTGCGCCGTAGGCCGGAGCGCTGGGCGTGACGCACGGTTTGCCATCCCGCACCAGCACCGGTACCGCGACACGGCGCGGCGGCTGCGGCGGTGCATGTGCTCCCAGCTCCAGAGACTTGTCCTGCCGCTGTCTCTTGCACTTGTACCTGCGATTCTGGAACCAGATTTTCACCTGCGTGGACGTAAGCTTCAGGCTGCTGGCGAGGTGCTCGCGCTCGGGCGCCGACAGGTACCTCTGCTGCTTGAACCTGCGTTCTAGCTCAAAGACTTGGGCTTGTGAGAAGAGGACTCGGGGCTTCCTGCGGCTGCGTGGCTTTGGCCTCTCGCTCTCCTCCGCCGCCTTACAGTCTCCGGTTGTCTCTAGAGGCTTCTTTAGCTGACAGTTTTCTGCGAGAGAAGCAAAACAACAGCATCCATTAGCTATTCCTGGTCTCTCCCGGGTTTCCCCTTATTTGGTGGCAGCTCCGAGCATATGGTAGTAAATGCCTGGACTTTTTAGAAAGTTTGTGGCTCCTGGTGCCATGACACACTGAGGCGACAACCCGAGTACCCAAAGAACACCCTCTGTGGGCCAAGGCACTTTTGATGGGATAGAGTAGTTAGTGCGCATTTATTAAAACTTGAGCATCAGCAAAAGAAGAGATTACCCTGCATTAAGTGTGCGACTCAACATGCTAATGACTATTTTCAGAATGAAAGCTACAAATAATACAGCATTTGCAAACTCGTTTGCCTTCCACAACACCATGCATAGCTGAAGGTGTGAGACATGCTGGTATTAGGTGACCCATGTGCATGGGTTGTGCAAAAATCTTACTTTTGGGAAATGCATTGCTCAGGGACAGTTCTTTGCTTATAAAAGACTACATGCAAATGTGTGTTGTGCGTTACTTTAGAGAGAAAAAGAAGTTTGATTAACTGATTTTAGGCAGTTTCATGTCTATTTTAGACTAGGGTGAGCTGTCAGAGCACAGGCCATGGCCTCAGCCACATCAAACTTCCTTTTGGAGAAAGAGATTCTTTAACTCTGTCCCCTCGGAAACAATTCTTTGGGAGCTTTGTTCAGTTATCTGATCACCCCTCCTAATTCTCTTCTGGTTAGATATGAAGGGCTAGATCTGACACTAAGTTCGGTGTGTTCTCTATTGGGCCTACAATCTGAAACACAAAGCAAACGTTGGCCGGGGCCCCAGGGGTGTGAGAGCTACAGATCACACGGAATGAACTGTATTCCCATGAACTCTAGGACTATCCCCTCCTCTCTGCAGCCGTGAGAACGTTGATCTTCAAGCAGAGAAGTCAGAAAACCACCTAGGTGGTCTCTACCAAAGTTCCTGCACCCTTAGGACACTTGAGCCACAACCTGCTTGTTCTGTCTTTTTGGAGAAGGGTGGACACCTGGCCTCAGAGAATTCATGTTGGAGGGAAAGTGAAAAACTAGGTCAGGCTTCATTTTTTTTTTTTTTTTGAGAAGAGCCTTTGGGATGGGGGTCAGGGGTGGGAGGAGATAAAAAATATTTCTAGATGTTGGGACTCAACAGTTAAGCCTGTGTTGCTTATCAACATCAGGGCAGCAATAACCACTTTCCCTTCCCTAGGGACTGCATCGTTTCTGCCCCCATCTGGGGGAGTAATTGTCAGGGTCACCAAGTCCTTCTTCCTCCCCAGCCAGAGCTAGCTCGCGCGCTCTCTCTCTCTCTCTTTCTCTCTCTCATCTGCACTTTATTGAGCTGCTGTTAACCAGGACCCAGGCGTGACCCCAGCCAAAGGTTAAAGGGGCGCTTAACCTGCCTGGTAAGGTTTGTGGGCTGATTGTGGGCGCTGTGCCATTGCTTCAGGTGTGCCGGTGCGTTTCTTTTCCCCCTCTACTCACTTTGGTTCCGATCTCTCACGACCTCCTCTTCATGTTCCTTGGGCCCGCTGCACGAGTCTCGAAGGACCGAGTGGACATAGCCCTGGTGACAGAGACCCGAATCCCCCTGGCCGTCGGCTGTGGCTAGTGAGTTCAAATAGGACAGTTTCTCCCTTTCTTCTTCCTCGTCCTCCTCCCCTCCGTCAGAAAATTGCGTTCCCTCAGCTGCGGCCAGCATACAGGGCACGGAGTGGAAGTGGTGCTCCAAGTCTGTCTGCAAGTGCGCCCCGTGTAAGTGCTGCTGCTCCAGATTCAAAATGTCTTTGACTGAGAAAGGGGTGGAGGTGACCGGGCTTGGTAACATCATCAGGGCCACTTAATTGTCCAGTCCAAATACTCAATAAATCCCGGCGGGGGCGGGGAGGCAGCGCGGCGACTCCCGTTCTCCTTCTGGACTCTGCGGTTGCTGCCCAGTCGGGTTTTTGACAGACGCGGTCCCGCTCCAGTCTAAATCGCCTCCATTGGCCGGGATCTGGGGGTCTGGGTTTTGTTACAGCCACTGCAGGGACTGGGGCCGGGGCTGAGAAGCCTCTGTCCGAGGGCCTTGCGTCACGTCGGAGGCGGAGCCGGTACTCCGGCCTCCCTCCTCATTGGCTGTGGCTCACTAGGGCCACACCCCCGCATTCGCCGAGTGGATTCTGGCAGCGCTAACCAGAAATAGACAAGGACTAGTATAGGGCCTTAAGTCCAAGTGGCTGCAGGAGAGGTTGCACCACCGACTCGAGTGTCCGAACCACCGATTCTCACTCCGCCCGACTGCACCTTCCCGACCTGGGCCAGTTCTGGGAGGCCCGCTGTCCACGGGAAGGATGCCACAACAGTGCGGTTTTTTCAGGTGCTGCGAGGACAGGAAGACTTCCTGGCTGGTAAATACCCGGCGCTGCATCAACAACCCGTGTTTCATCTATCTCTGAGCGACGTGTCAATTTCCTACTTCTTGTCTTTGCTCAAGAGATTCTTCCACATGGAACGTCTTTCCCGCCCTTGTCTCCAAGAGTGGAAAGCTGTTCTTCAAGGCTCTACTCAAATACTACCTCCTCCAAGGAAGCAGTCCCTGTTCGCCAGGCCGGAAGTCCTCTTTCCCGCCTCTGAACTTGCAGCTCCTGTTAGCAAAGGACATTCGTGTCACTTATCATTTCCCATTTAGTTTATAGCTTTATATGTTTGGTTGCCTCAGACTGTGAGCCTCCTGAGGGCCGGGCCGGGTTGCACTTGCCCAGGGTCCAGGGTTGCCTTTGCCCTTGTAGCCCTTAGTTGCTGCACAGAGCAGGTATGTGAAAGATAGGATGATGGAGTTCTTGACTACATTTTGGTGTCCGAGTGCTCTTGCTTTGAATCTGGCCTCCGTCAGTCTGTGGTCTTGGATATTTGTTTCATCAGTTTCTTCCTCTTTAAAAGGAGACAGTAATACTCGCTTTGGGTTATTGTTCTGATTAAGTAAGGTAAAACATTCCAGGAGCTTAGTGCAGTTTCCCAATGTTAATTTCTCAGTACATGTCACCTACCGCTATTCCGCATCGGAGGTCAGCGGAGTGTTTGTTGACTGTATTAGGGGTGAGGTGGCTGGAGTGCTGCACACACTGGGTGGCTTCATATGGTTTTGAGAGCAGGATCTGTCCTCAGAAGGGAGGTTACCCTGCCGTGGCTACCGTTTTTTCCGCCTATTGAAATCAGGAGTCTGAGTCTAGGCCTTGAATCTTGGACACTTGTTTCTAATTTCTCTATCCACGGAGCTTCTGGCGCCCTCCTGAGATTCTGTTGTTTTCTGGGTAAATCTGTAGACTCCCTAGAGATTTTGGATTGTTCCACTCGGTGGGACCCCCCCACCCCATAGGCTTTCACCCATTGCCAGCATAGTCCAGGGAGTAGGCCCGGGTGCTGCTATGAGCCCACAGAAGCACGCGTGGGCAACGCTGGCCTTGAAAAAAATTGGAACCGGTTCAAGTCCAACCGTGGCGTCCTTCATCTGGTGGCCCCAAACTTTTTTTTTTGGACCTGAATAGCTAGGTTGGGAGAAGCTGGCCTCAGCTAGAAGGAACAGGTGGAAGGTGTGGGGGCTGTGGACAACGTTCCCGGGAAGGGGCAGGCACCGTGTTCGAGTGGGAGGAATGAGGATTGAAAGTTGCCTTGCCGGGAACCGGTGATGCAGAGGAGTCGGTGCCCTTGGCCGGGGAACGAAAGTACAGCCTGTTGGGAGGGCAGAGAGGCGGGGCTGTTCAGGAGAGAGCGGAAATGTTGAGGGGAGGCAGCCCCTGGGGGCGCCTGGGGAGTTGAGATGCCGCCTGGGCCACAGCTCCGGGGAGTACCCTTAGGACCAGAGCGGCGGGGAGAGACCATCTGTGGGCAGGGCTCTCCTCCCCGAAGGCCATCCCTCAGCCACAGGGCAGCCAGTTAACTTTTGCTTAAATCCTGAAACTGTTGAAGCCTCAGGCGGAGGCTGATGTCCCCTAAACCGGCCGTGAATCTGCAGAGGGAAGAAGGCGCCCGGTTTTGCAGCGGATCCCGAGCTCTTGGGCTCAAAGATACCGAGAGAGGTGGGGGTGAGTGCGCGGCACTGCAGGGTGGGGGACCTTGGTGTATGTGCGTCACCGCGGCAGGCTAGTAGAAAGAAGGAAGCTGCGTTCCAGGCTAAGCCCTCCTCTACTCCCACTCCCCAAGGCAAAACCATTGAGGGGAAATGTTTCTGGTCCCTCTGTACCCACTTTTCTTAGTTCTTAGGTGATTTCAAAATTTAGACAAAAGAAAAAAACAAAACCTACCGAAATAATTTTTCTTTCATCAGTTTCCCACAGAAATCTGCGAGTTTTTTTTTTTTGCTACATTTCTTGCTTCTCAGCGCGCTTTCCTCCTAGGCTTTACCCAAACTTGGTCCCAAGAACCCGTGTCTTAGAACCGTGATCTGGACAAAGCGCAGCTCCAGCGCCCTGAATACGGCGACACGCCCACACACCCGCTGCTGTCTCCCGAGCCCACCAGATCGCCCTCTCTCTGCATGTGCAGAAGACAGTCTCCTCCCCTCCCACGCGGGCGGGTCTCCACTGCGGTGCCTGACACCCTCCGATCAGGCCTCGGTTCTCCTCGTGGATCCTAAACAAGTGACTTCTAGGCAGACCGCTGCGGGACGCAGTCACACCCCCTAGTTATTCAATTACTGGTTAGGCCAAGAGAGTTAGAGGCCTGAGAGGCTCCCTGTGGAGAGCCACAACCTAGGGGCCTAGCCTGATGCTTCTGTGACTATCCGGTTTTCTTTCTCCATCTTCAGACCTGAGCCGGGCTGATCCAACCGTAGGAGGTTTGGACTCTGGATCCAGTCCTTAGGGTTGATCTTTGTTTTATGGCCAGAGCAGGGATCCCAGTCATCTCCAGCTACCCTTTCCGTATTGTCCAGGCTCCCTTTAGTCTGCCAGTAGCGGGGCTTCCCAGCATGGATCCCAGCCAGGCCAATCCCATCTAGGTGGCTTCCCTTTCCCGCTCAGGTAGCTTGTCCCCTGACGAAGGTGGGCCAGTGAGCCGCTGTCGGGGAGAAAAATTCAAGAGCGATGGATAGTTCTACAGCGGTGGTCGCTTCGCAGGAGTAGCTTATCAGCGTGTGGAATCTGGTTCGAACGCATATCCAGTTACTACCGTTCTGGGGCATTTACATTCTCTTGTCTGAAAAGGGAATCTTTGAAACCCCGGAGCTGTACTCAACTAATAATAGATCTTCCTTCCAGACAGTTTAGCTAATTGCCGTCAGGTAAAGTAAATATGGCTGCATCCACAGAAGCGTTTCCTTTTATTTTAACCGGTTTATCTGCACTGGTAGATTTCGTCACATTATACATTTTATACACACACCCTATCACGTATTTGATTAAGGATCATAGTTAAATGGTGGCAAATTCCAGGAGGGGAAAGAACTATATAGGTGCATAAACAATAAATAAAATTATACCTTTAAGAAAATCCGTGTGCTCACCAATACAATAAATACATTATCAAGTGAAAATGTAATAATTATTCAAAAACTGTAACGTGGTCCTATGTTATTCTTTACACCTTGCTTAATTAACGTTTTTAAAATATAGGCAGTTAATAGTTTTAATTATGTATGCCACTGTTTATCTTGTTGCATAAATAGTCATTTAATTATGTAACCAAGTCCACAAAGAAGTTGAAAGTTGTCGTGGCTTCCTAATTTAAATATAGCACCACAGTCAGAAGTGATTTTCTATTAAAGCAGGAAAAATCATCCTGTGATGAACTCAACTATCCAAAATTATATCACATTTCAGGTGAATTTTTCACTGTTTCTTAAAGTTGTCCTAGAAATTTCATTTTCATTGTATCTAACCAAAAAAGAAAAAGAAAGAAAGAAAAATATCCTTGTTAGCAACAGCACTAAATAGATTTTTGTTAACGGTGGAGTGTGTATTTGTGGATTTTGTTCTTAATTGAGGGATGGCAGAAAACTATCCAGAAGTTCTGGGCAATCTGAGGCAATAACATTTTAATCGTGAGAAGGCTGAATACACTTCCTACTTTTAAAGACATGTCAACTGAGTTGCTCAGTTCTAGAAAGCATTAAACTGATCTAATTTCTTGGAAGTATTTTTTCTTTGTTGAAGTAATTTCCTCTGAGGAATTCTTAAATGCCACCGGGAGCTCCTAGCTTGTTTTGCATATGTTTGCATACTTGCCAGATTTTTCTAGATTTTTGTTTGGAGTTGAGTCTGCTAAATGACCCACCGCTTCATTTTTTCCGGAAGAAAAATCAGTCCAAATTCAGCGAATCTCATAGTTCTGAGTAAATTACAGGCCCTTCCTAAGAAAGCAAGTTTCGATTTCTCAGCGAGAGAACTTTTCACGTCTACCTACGCATGTCTGGTCCCTTCCAACGATTTTAAAGATAAAAATATAAATTTAAAATGTCTCACCAAACCAATTCTGTTGCCAATAAAGCACTTAACCCAGAAAGACTAACTGTATGTTTGTTGAATGAACATCAATTCAATATTTTTTTCCAAACATAAATGCCTAAATAAAGGATGCTTGTATTATACAGGCATGTATTTGTACTGATGTGTGTGCTATTTGGGAATGCAGCGAGAAGTTTTAACTAGGGGATTAAATTGGAATTCTGAACACATTCCTAACTTTTTAAAGAATAAGCGTCAGTTTAACTTCCTGTAGAGAATTTCAACGTCTGTAGACCTTTTAAAGTATAACCTTAACTTCAGAAGAACTGTTACAGTCTTCTGCAGAATTAATTCACTGAAACCAGAGCGCCTGCCTGCTCTGTGCGGGTGGCTGAGCAGAAGAGGGGAAAGAGAAATGTGTGTATCGTGTTCCAAGAAGCAGAGATTCTTCGTGTCTCTTCCTATCGCTATCTTCTCAGTGTTGTCTACTCAACCGCAAGCCAGCTCCGAGGGACCTCGGACTCCCCGGAATGTAGAAATCTTTCCCCAAGTTTCTCTGGGGGTTACTTTGGAATGAATATCTTGAAACTATTTGAG